AGAATCAGCAGCTCTTTGGGCAGTTTGAGCTTCCTGAATTGGTGCAGAAAGAACATTCTTTGTTGTGCTTTTTTGACGGCATTTTTGATGTTAGGTGTCCATTTTAACTCTTGAAATATGATAGAACCTAGAAACCTGAAGGTCTCTACTGCTGATACTGTGTTGTCTAGTATTGTAAGAAGCGGAATTGTTTTTTTCCCCCAAACGTATTTCATTGGGGTATGTTTTTCTGGTTTTTGTTGTGTTAAAAAATGCTGAGCATTTTAAGGACAGCAAGGTAGAAAAGCATTTCAAAGTGGAACTTGTCCTGTGCTTAGATACGGAAGAATGGACCCATTGAATTGCGGCTGCAAAACCAAAGTAATTTTTAACAATGCATCGAGATTCTCTCAAACGCTCAGGGCCTCTGGGCACCAGCTCTCCTTTCTGCAGGAACTAACTCCACTATTGTCGAAGGAGAGGAACACTCTAGAGAAGGCCTTGCTAAAAATTGCCTACCCTTGAGCTGCTCTGTTTTTTTGGCTGGCCTCACCTCTCATGATCTCTGTTTCACTTCTTCCCCGAATGCAGAATGCCTTTGTAGGCCTCACCAACCTGGGGGCCACGTGCTACGTCAACACTTTCCTACAGATGTGGTTCCTAAATCTGGAGCTCCGGCAGGCGCTGTATCTGTGTCCGGTTGCAAGGCCTGAATGTGTCACTGCGGCAAAGAAAGGTATTTTGGCGGCATCCTTGCTCTTGTTAAAAGGAGTCGGTCCTAAGATTCATCTGATTTGAACCCCAAATGGTTGGCCAGATCTAGATATCGTCACTGTCCCCCTATACCATGTTTTCCCAAGAATAAGACCTACATTAATTTTTGTTCCAGAAGATGTGTTAGGGCTTATTTTCCAGTTGGGTCTTATTTTGGGGGAAATACAGTACTAAAATGCATCTATCTAGCGGACTATCTTAACTGGGTCTTATTTTTGGGATATGGCTTATATTACGAACATCCTGGAAAATCATGCAAGGGCTTATTTTCCAGTTGGGTCTTATTTTTGGGGAAATACAGTACTAAAATGCATCTGTTTAGCTGACTATCTTAACTGGGTCTTAATTTGGGGGTATGGCTTATATTATGAGCATCCTGGAAAATCATGCAAGGGCTTATTTTCCAGTTGGGTCTTATTTTGGGGAAATACAGTACTAAAATGCATCTGTCTAGCTGACTATCTTAATTGGGTCTTATTTTTGGGGTATGGCTTATATTATGAGCATCCTGGAAAATCATGCAAGGGCTTATTTTCCAGCTGGGTCTTATTTTCAGAGAAACACAGTAGTCCTCAACTTACTTAACATAGTTCATTTAGTGACTGTTCAAAGTTACAACGGTACTGGGAAAAGTGACTTATGACCATTTCCCACACTTAGGACCGTTGCAGCCTCCCTGTGGTCACATGATCAAAATTCAGAGGCTTGGCAACTGGTTCATATTTACGACCGTTGCAGTGTCTCGGCGGGGGGGGGGGAATCGTGTGATCATCCTTTGCAACCTTTCTGACAAGCAAAGTTCGTGCAGAATCCAGATTCACTTAACAAACGTCTTGCTTGCTTAATCAATGCAATGATTCACTTAACAAGTGTGGCAAGAAAGGTCATAAATGGGGCAACGCTATCTTAACAAGTGTTTTCAACATAAATGTTGGTCTCAATTGTGGTTTATAGGGTAGCGTAGCATAGCATAGCATAGAAAAAAATGGAATGGAATAGAGAGAGAATGGAATGGAATGAGAATAAGAATGAGAATGGAGAGAGAATGGAATGGAATATGGAATGGAATAGAGAGAGAATGGAATGGAATGAGAATGGAATAGAGGGAGAATGGAATGGAATAGAGGGAGAATGGAATGGAAGATGGAATGGAATATGGAAGATAGAATGGAATGGAATAGAGGGAGAATGGAATGGGATGGAATATGGAATGGAATAGAGAGAGAATGGAATAGAGGGAGAATGGAATGAGAATGAGAATGGAATAGAGAGAATGGAATGGAATATGGAATGAAATAGAGAGAGAGAATGGAATGGAATATGGAATGGAATGGTATATGGAATGAAATGGTATATGGAATGGAATAGAGAGAGAATGGAATGGAATGGTATATGGAATGGAATAGAGAGAATGGAATGGAATTTGGAATAGAATAGAATTCAAGTGTGGTTGGACACACAAGGAATTTGTCTCTGGTGCATATATTCTCATAAAGATACATTCGTCAAGAATCATAAGGTACAACAGTTAATGATAGTCATCGGATACAAATAAGCAACCAGGAAACAATATCAATCATCAGGATACCAGCAACAAAGTTACAGTCCTGCAGTCATAAGTGAGAGGAGATGGGTGATAGGAACGATGAGAAGATTAATACTAGCGCAGACTTAGTAAATAGCTTAGTCACTTCACAAATTCTGCTTGAAGAGATTGTTCCCATTTCACAGAAGTGTTCGGCTCCTTGCTCTCAGTTAGACGAGGGGCAAACGAATTCCTTCGCCGGTCCCAAGCCTGCATCCTGGTGTTTTAATCAAGCCTTTGATCCCTTGACAGATTACGAGCCTCAGACCATTTGCGAGCACCTCCAGTACTTGTTCGCCTTGCTCCAAAACAGCAAAAGGCGATACATTGACCCATCGGGGTTTGTGAAAGCACTTGGCTTGGACACAGGTCAGCAACAGGTAAGGTTCGAGGCACCCCGGCCACCTTCTCCCTCTTTCGCCTTATTGTCTCTCAGAACGACACATTTAAGAAACCCGTTGCCACACAGAGGAAAACCAGGAATCCTTTGACGGCAGAAAAATAAAAAGCCCTCCTCATTTTGCCTGGGCTACTCGGTTGAAAAGTCCCGGTGGAAGAGTTGCCTCTTTCGGAGGAATTTTCTGACAATAGCTTACTTCAGTGATGGCGAACCTTTTGCGGCTCGCGTGCCAAAAGCGGGGGGAGCGTAGAGGGGGCCATGCGTGGGCATGCCACACCCATAATGCTATGTGCATGATGACCAGCGCTCCCCCCATTTTATGTGCTTTTTTTTCACCCTCTCCAGGCTCCAGGGGCTTTATAGGAGCCTGGGGAGGGCAAAAACAGCCTCCCGGAGACCCTCCGGAGGCCTCAGGAGCTTTCCTGAAGCCTCCGGAGCGCGAAAAACTGTAGGTTCAGGAACGAACTTCCGGTTTGCCCATAGGGCCGGTTTTTCGTGCTCCGGAGGCTTCAAGCCTCCAGAGGACGAAAAATGGCTTCAAAAGAAGGCCTAAGGTCAGCTGGCCATCACGCGCATGCACACTGGCCAGCTGACAGGGCAACGCCTTGTGTGCACGGACAAATGGCTCTGCGTGCCACCTGTGACACGTGTGCTATAGATTTGCCATCACGGGATGGGATTAAAATGAGAGGTTTGGGCCTCTGGGTCGCCCCGATCTAAAAAAAGATGTGGAGACTCTAGAAAGAGTGCAGAGAAGAGCAACCGAGATGATTAGGGGACTGGAGGCTAAAACCAGAGGTGGCATTCAGCCGGTTCTGATAAACAGGTAGCGGAAATTTTCAGTTGTTTGGAGAAACGGCAAATGCCACCACTGGTTGGCCCCACCCTCCCGCCATTCCCCGCCCCTTGTTTTTTAGCTCAGCTGATTCATGCGGCAGGGCAGATTCCCGCGCCTCAGCTGAGCTAAACAACAGCTCAGCTCACCAGCGCTAAAACCAAGGGCGGTCTTTGAGTGCTGCGCCCGTGCGCAAAATGTGTGTTAGGCATGCATGTGCACAAAGCACACTCTCATAAAACCAGTAGGAATAGATTTGGAATCCCACCACTGGCTAAAACATATAAAGAACGGCTGCTGGAACTGGGGATGTCTAGTTTAATGAAAAGAAAGAATGGGGAGACATGATAGCAGTCTTCCAATATCTCAGGGGTTGCCCCAAAGAAGAGGGAGTCAAGCTATTCTCCAAAGCACCTGAGGGCAGGACAAGAAGCAACGGGTGGAAACTAACCAAGGAGAGAAGCAACTTAGGACCAAGGAGAAATTTCCCAACAGTGAGAACAATTAACCAGTGGGACAAATTGCCTCCAGAAGCTGTGAATGCTCCAACACTGGAAGTTTTTAAGAAGATGTTGGATATCCATTTGTCTGAAG